TGGTAATTATGTTTTTACATTATATATTCATTAACAGGTGTTTCTAATTTCTATGCTTTTATTTTTCAAATATTAGAGAATAATTTAAAATGTTTACTGCCAGTATTTTCTTAAATTCTTTTATTTTCAGTTTAAGGAACTGCTTCCAGCGTCTTTTATATTTATGGCATATGCAGTGCCAATATACTTTTTTGAAATTCAGTTGTTTCAGAAGATTTGTTTGTGTTTGCTTGTTTCAGAAGGAGTCTCATTCTGACCCCAGTGCAGTGACGTGATCTTGGCTCACTGCAACCTCTGCCTCCTGGGTTCAAGCGATTCTCCTGCCTCAGCCTCTCGAGTAGCTGGGACTACAGGTGCACCCAGCTAATTTTTGTGTTTTTAGTAGATGTGGGGTTTCACTACATTGGCCAGGCTGGTCTTAATATCCTGACCTCGTGATTCACCTGCCTCAGCCACCCAAAGTGCTGGGATTGTAGGCCTGAGCCACCACACCCAGCCCGGAAGATTATTTTCTTTTCTTTTTTTAGGGAATCCATAAGCATAAGCATAGGAAAACTGCATGGGCAACAAAATACAGGTATTTCTGACAGCACCAATGGATGAACACAAGCTGGAATGAGGTCAAGGTTTTCAGACATTTGATGTAGCTCTACATCCTCATGCCTAATGTGGATTATAATTACAATTGCCTCTGTCTAGTTCTCAAGCCTATGAAATATTTAAAACATCTTTTTCTAGCATATGTAAGATGCAAAGAGCTTAGAATTTTCCTTCCATAAGCAAATCACGTTAAGAGAGTTGGAGATGGGCTTTCTTTTAAATCATGGCCTAGTTTGGGGCTTGAGTTTCTTTCCAGGGGACTCATTCTGTATTCATGTTCAATCTGGTTTCGCGGCAGGGAAGTGTGGCATTGAGTTTGTGGTGCACAGGATGAAAAACGAGGCAAAATCATGACAGCAGTTTTTTCAAAATCTTTCAACATCTGATCAGAGGGAGCCATTCCCATCCTGCTTGAGATGAAGCTGTTCAGCAGACATCCCCCAGGACTCTTCTGATTAAAGCAGTTTTTGCATAGCGTTAGCCAAATCTCAGTCAGTTCAAGGTCCTTTAAGTGCTACACTTTCTTAACATTGGAAGATTCTATTTGATACCAAAACAGCACTGGATGGAAAGAAAAGATCAACATGAAGGGCATTTACACAAAGGAGGATTCTGATTCAATTTCTTTCCCAATGGATAGATTCATTCTGGGCTCAGGATATTACATTGCTGATAGAATTTTTTTCAAGTCTCTGCTCTAGGCAGTTTAACTTGTGTAGTGGTCTGTTTTCATTTCCAGTTCTCCTTGCAATAAAAGAAACTGAAATTCCTGGGCTCTGACAGAAGCTTTCTGGGCTGCCTTAGTGACCTGTACAAGCCATCAGAAGTCAGAACCAGCTCTAGAATGAGTGGGTACAAATGTTCCCGAAAACCAGCTCTTGGTTTTCTGCGGGAAAGGTGGAAATAAGAGAGCATGGACACTTCTGATGCATGAAAAATTGCCTAAGCCTCACTACAGTCCTAAATCTCAGCCTCCTCTTCCATTAGGTATTTGGATTCCAGATATACTAGTCAGTGGCTGCACTGAGCTACTTTTAGTTTTCTCTAGTTTGCTCTTAACTAGACTTGAGTAGAAAAATAAAGTGGCGAGACATCAGAAAAGCCTAAGCACCAGACAGTCCAGAAGTTGGATACTCGTTTTCCAAATAGAATAATAGGGTATAGGCTCTGTTTGGTAAGGGCACTTAACTTTTTTGTAATTGCATTTTAGGTTTTGCGGTACATGTGAAGAACATGCAAGATGGTTGCATAGGTACACACATGGCAGCGTGATTGGCTGCCTTCCTCCCCTTCACCTATATCTGACATTTCTCCACATGCTGTCTCTCCCCAACTGTCCACCCCCCAGATTATTTTCTTTTTATTTGGCAGGACAGGTTTGTTGTTGGTGATTATTCTCACTTGATTGCTTCCCCACCCCCTGCAGGAATTTGTCTGTGTCACACGGTTTCTTTCTGGCCTACAAAATTTGTTTTGGTAATTCATTGTTATATCATAACACTATGTTTGTAAATGACACATTACTTTTATCTTGCAGCTTCCAAAACTGTTTTCTAGTCTAATTTTTGAGAATGTACTTATATGTGTATTTGTATAAATACCTTTGCTTCTGTCCTAATTTGTTTGTTGAACCTCTTCATTTTTACATCATTTTTCTTATTTTTAGGATTTTCCAATTCTTTACTTTTCTATTTCTTGCCTCCAAAATTTGAGAAAATACTTTAGATATTTTATGCTTTCAGTCTTATTTTTATGATTTTTACAGTGGTCTGTGTTCCTTTTTTACCCATTGAATATTTTTTTTTGGGGGGGCGGGGGGAGGAAGCCAGGAAGGGAGGGAAGAATTACAGTAGGGAGGAAGGAAGGGATGAAGGAAGGAAGGAAGGAAGCGGGGAGGGAGGGAGGGACGGAGGGAAGGGAAGGAAGGAAATCAAGCAATGAGAGAGACATTGCCGACCTGGATCTAGAGGTTTACAAGTTGATTTCTTTTTCTTTGAGAGAAGGAAAGAAAAAAAAAATAAGTAAAGGAGAGGAAGAAAGAGGAAGAGAAAGAGGAAGAGTAAATGGAAATATTGCTTTATTTTGAAAAAAAGTTGGGTATTAATAATGGCCAATCAATGTTTCATTTAAACTTATGGGTAGGTGTGATGTGGTATGAATGTATATTTTGTGTATTTGAAGTGGAGAGCTCTATAAATATTTATTAAGTTTACTTGTTCCAGATCTGAGTTCGAGTCCTTGATATCCTTATTAATTTTCTGTCTCATTGAATCTAAGTCTCCTATCTGGGTGTTAGGATCGTTAGCTCTTGTTGTTGCATTGATCCTTTTGCCACTGTATCTTTGTTGCTTTAAAATCTATTTTATCCGATACGAGAATTGCAACTCCTGCTTTTTATTTATTTATTATTTATTTTTGCTCTCCATTTGGTTGATAAATCTTTCTCCATCCCTTAGTTTTGAGTCTTTGTGTATCCTTGCATGTGAAACAGGTCTGGATGTAACATGCCATTGGGTTTTGGCTGTGTCTTTTGATTGGGGGATTTAGTCAATTTAAATTTAGGGTTACTGCCATTTGATGTTGACTGGCTGTTTTATGCATTCGTTGGTGTGAATTCTTCTTTATGTTGGTGCTCTTTACTTTTTGGTGTATTTTAGAAAGGCTAATACTGGTTGTTTCTTTCTGTGTGTATTGCTTCTTTCAGAAGCTCTTGTAAAGCAGGCCTGGTGGTAATAAAATCTCTGAGTTCTTGCTTGTTCATAAAAGATTTTATTTTTCCTTCAGTTGTGAAGCTTAGTTTGGCTGGATATGAAATTCTGGGCTGAAGGTTCTGTTCTTTGAGGATGTTGAATATTGGCCCCCACTCTCTTCTGGCTTGTAGAGTTTCTGCTGAGAGATCTGCTGTAAGTCTGATAAGCTTGCCTTTTTGGGTAACCTGACCTTTCTCTCTGGCTGCCCTTAGTATTTTCTCCTTCGTTTCAACCCTGGTGAATCTAACGATTATGTGCCTTGGGGTTGCTCTTCTTGAGGAATATCTTTGTGGTGTTCTCTGTATTACCTGGGGTTGAATGTTGACCTGCTTTGCTAGTTTAGGAAAATTTTCCTGAATAATATCCTGAAGGGTATTTTCCAGCTTGGATTCATTCTCTCCGTCGCATTCAGGTACACCTATCAAACGTAAATTTGGTCTTTTCACATAGTCCCACATTTCTTGGAGACTTTGCTCATTCCTTTTTATCCTTTTTTCTCTAATCTTTTCTTCACGTTTTATTTCATTAAGTTGGACTTTGACCTCTGATATCCCTTCTTCTGCTTGAACAATTCGAGTGTTTAAACCTGTGCATACTTCTCGGAGTTCCTGTATTGTATTCTTCAGTTCCATTAATTCACTCATACTCCTCTCTAGGTTGTCTATTCTCAATAGGATTTCATCAAACCTTTTTTCAAAGTTCCTAGTTTCTTTACATTGGGCTACAACATGTTCTTTTAACTCACCGAAGTTTGTTATTATCCATTCCTTGAAGAGTGATTCTGTCATCAGGATGCGCTCCTTCTCCATCAAGGCTTGTTCCATTGTCGATGTGGAACTGTGATCATCTTTAGAGGGAGAGACGTTCTGACTTTGAGGATTCTCAGCTTTTTTACGCTGGTTTCTTCCTGTCATTGTAAATTTCTCCTCCTGTCATCTTTGAAATTACCAACTTTCAGATTAGGTCTCTTGAGTGGACGTCCGGGTTGTTAGTTCCCGGGGCCAGAGCAACGGCGTTAAAACTGATGGTGCTTTTCTGCCCAGGATTCTCCTGTCTGGCTTCCTTCTTGTGTCAGTAATGGGCGACTCTGCCTTCCCGGGGCTCCAAACCTCGGTCAGAAGGGGAAGCGGTCCCGTTTACTCTGCGCCGAGTGCTGCATGTCGAGGTGCCCTTACAGCCACTGCCGGGCTCTGGTGTCGTGTTGGGGGCCCGTGTGGGTCCTCTGACCCTGTTTACTCTGCTCCGAGAGCTGCCGCGCCAAGATGCCGGCGGAACCACTGCGCCGGCGAGGAGAGTCGCGCTGGCCACCCGTGTGTTTCCTTCACTGGGGGATCTTCTGCTCCGTCAGCGACCAGAATTTGTCTGAAAGTGTGGCGTCCTCTAGTTCTCCGCGCCTTCCCTGAGAGCTGCAATCCCGGGATGTTAGCGATCAGCCATCTTGGATCATTCTCTTACCCATTGAATATTATTCAACTTATTATCAGTGTTTAAAATTAATGTGTGTCTTTTTCATGTTTTTTTGAGAATTATATAATATTTTTGATAAAATTATATTGCCCTATTGTTATCTTTGAGTTTTGAGCATTTAAAAAAAGCTACCTGTCACAGTCTCTAAAATGTAGTTTCATGTGACATAGTCTGAAACAATTATCTTAGCTAGAGATTCTGGGAGTCTCTCAAACATGTCTTTAGAATTTGCCTTGTCTAAAATTATCTGTTTAGTTTATAGTTAAAGGAGTTCATTCATGTTTCTTTCTTCTTTTTCTTTTTTTTTTCTTTTGAGACAGTTTCTCTTTTGTCACCGAGACTGGAGTGCAGTGGCATGGTATTAAGTCACTGCAGCATCTGCCTCCCAGGTTCAAGTAATTCTCCTGTCTCAGATTCTCACATAGCTGGGATTACAGGCATGCATCTCCATGCTCAGCTAATTTGTATTTTTAGTAGAGGCAGGGTTTTGCCATGTTGCCCAGGCTGGTCTCAAGCTCCTGACCTCATGGGATCCACCCACCTTGGCCTCTCAAACTGCTAGGATTGCAGGTGTGAACCACCACACTCAGCCTATTTATATTTCTTCTTAATAACCAGTAATCACTTGCTACAATTGTTTTCTGTCTATGATACCGCAGTCTTTCTGCTGCTGGACAACCTACCTTTAGTCTCAGCAGACTCAAACTGTCATTTGAAAGAATACCACTATTTATTTCAGATCTTTACATAATGAGAGACAGGAAACAGTGGCTGTAAAAGATCCTAGCATCCATAAATAAAGATGTATAAGGCAGTGTTTTCCTTGTCTTTTAAAAAAGAAACCAGCAGTTGGCAATTTATTTGAAGTCACTATGTTTTATTGGAAATCAGGAAGATCCGTAGTGTGTAAATGTAGGAGACTTTTCTTCTATGTGGCTGTTTGCATTGGGCTCACCAGGGGCATTGCACACACTTTAATTTTTTATAAATGTAATTTGTCTGTATATTTTTGTTACATTTATATGTCTGTGAAAAAATTCAGGCCTGTAATATTTTGCTATGCCATCTTTTGATGTGGTTTGTACAATTTTATACATAATATTTGTAAAGTATATTCATCTGAGTCTAGTAAGTGGAGTAATTTGTTATTTTTATTTCTTTCAGGTGTATGTTCTTATTTTGCCCAAGAACGTTGGCCAAAGCAGGGCATAAAAAGTTGTTTCCAAAAAATGATACTGAGAAGATATAAACAATGTAAACATAAAAATTTCCAGTTAAGAAAATGTTGTCAAAGCATGGATGAGTGTAAGGTGCTCAAAGAATGTTACAATGGACTTAACCAGTGTTTGACGACTACCCAGAGCAAAATACTTCAATGCAAAAAATTTGTGAGAGTCTTTCAAAACTTTTCATATTCAAACAGACATAAGATAAGACAAACTAGAAAGAAACCTTTTAAATGTAGAGAATGTGAAAAGACATTTTGCACGTTTTCACACTTAGTGCAACATAAAAGAATTCATAGTGGGGAAAGATCCCACAAACGGAAAGAATGTGGCAAAGCATATAATGAGACCTCAAATCTTTCTACCTATAAAAGAATTCATACTGTAAAGAAACCTTACAAATGTGAAGAATGTGGAAAAACCTTTAACAGGTTCTCACACCTTACTACACATAAGAGAATTCATACTGGAGAGATACTCTACAAATGTGAAGACTGTGGCAAAGCTTTTAGCCAGGCCTCACATCTTACTAAACATAAGATAATTCATTCTGAAAAGAATCCCTACAAATGTGAAAAAAGTGGAAAAGCCATTAAGTGGTTCTCACACCTTACTACACAAAAGAGAATTCATACTGGAGAGAAACGCTGCAAATGTGAGGAACATGGCAAATCTTTTAGCTTGTCCTCAACCCGTACTACACATAAGAAAATTCATTCTGGAGAGAAACCCTACAAATGTGAGAAATGTAAAAAAGCCTTTAACCGGTTCTCACACCTTACTACACATAAGAGAAATCATACTGGAGAGATAGCCAACAAATGTGAAGAATGTGGCAAAGCTTTTAGCCAGTACTCCTATCTGAATATACATAAGAGAATTCATACTGGAGAGAAACCCTACAAATGTGAGGAGTGTGGCAAATCTTTTAGCTGGTCTTCAACCCTTACTAGACATAAGAAAATTCATACTGGAGAAAAACCTTACAAATGTGAAGAATGTGGCAAATCTTTTACGTGGTCCTCAACCCTTACTACACATAAGAAAAAACATACTGGAGAGAAACCCTACAGATGTGAAGAATGTGGCAAAGCATTTATGTTGTCCTCAACCCTAACTAAACATAAGAGGATGCACACTAGAGAGAAACCCTACAAATGTGAAGAATGTGGCAAAGCTTTTAGCCAGTCCTCAACCCTTACTACACATAACAGAATTCATACTGGAGAGAAACCCTATAAATGTGAAGAATGTGGCAAAGCTTTTAACCACTCCAGAACCCTTATTATACATAACAGAATTCATACTGGAGAGAAACCTTACAAATGTGAAGACTGTGGCAAAGCTTTTATCCAGTCTTCAATCCTTATGACACATAAGATAATTCATACTGGAGAGAAAGCCTACAAATGTGAAGAATGTGGCAAAGGGTTTATCTGGTTCTCACACCTTACTGCACATAAGAGGATTCATACTGGAGAGAAGCCCTACAAATGTAAAGACTGTGGCAAAGATTTTAAAGTATCCTCACACCTTACTAGACATAAGAGAATTCATACTGGAGAGAAACCCTACAAATGTGAGGGATGTGGCAAAGCTTTTAACCAATCTGCAACACTTACTACACATAAAAAAATTCATACTAGAGAGAAAGCCTACAAATATGAAGAATGTGGAATAGTCTTTAACCAGTCCTCAAACCTTACAATTTGTATGATAATTCTTAATGGAGAGAAACCATAAAGTGTGAAGAATGTGGTAAAGCCTTAAATTAATCCTCAATTCTTAACAGAAATAAGATGATTTATACTGGAGAGAAAGTCTACAAACCCAAAAGTTGTAACAATGCTAGAAATAGAAATTCCATTTGACCCAGCAATCCCATTACTGGGTATATATCCAAAGGACTATAAATCGTTCTACTATAAGGACACATGCACACGAATGTTCCTTGCAGCACTGTTTACAATAGCAAAGACCTGGAACCAACCCAAATGCCCATCGACGATAGACTGGACAGGGAAAACGTGGCACATATACACCATGGAATATTATGCAGCCATCAAAAACGATGAGTTCGTGTCCTTTGTAGGGACATGGAGGAACCTGGAAACCATCATTCTCAGCAAACTGACACAAGAACAGAAAATCAAACACCACATGTTCTCACTCATAGGTGGGTGTTGAACAATGAGAACACATGAACACAGGGAGGGGCGCATCACACACTGGGGTCTGTCGGGGGGAAATAGGGAATCGCCAGTGGGGGGTGCGGAGTTGGGGAGAGAGAGCATGGGGAGAAGTGCCAGATATAGGTGAAGGGGAGGAAGGCAGCAAATCACGCTGCCGTGTGTGTACCTATGCAACAGTCTTGCATGTTCTTCACATGTACCCCAAAACCTAAAATGCAATAAAAAAGCACCTCAAACATTTTCAAATATTAAAGATATTGTGCTGGTGATAAATCATAGAAATATGAATAATGTGAGGAAGTCTTTAAATGGTTGACACACTTGATTGTAGGTGAGGTGGTTCATACTAGAGAAAACTTCTACAAGTATGAACGATGTGGCAAAACTTTTAAACCATGCTCACACCTTCTTGCACAGGAAAGCATTTATACTTGAGAAAAACTGTACAAATAGTAGAAAAGTGGTTAATATCTGCTCACAATCTTACTCTACATCAGAGTTTATCCTTAATAAAAGCATTAAAAATGCAGGTTTCTCAAAAGGTTCTTCAGAAAATATAAGCCTTTAAAGTGCTGAAGAGGATTTATTTGGAAGACAAACAGGACAAACATAAAGAGAGCTGTAGCACATTTACTTGCAACACAGATCTCGTCCTCATTTTATATTAGAGGCAAACTCTGACCCAACTGCTTAAACTTTGTTCAACATCAGAAAATGTATGTAGAAGAAAAACCTTGCAAATGGAATAAATTTGGGGAAAAAAATTACAGCTTAGAAAACTTCAGAGAGTCATAAAAATATATATAAATAAAAATAAAACAAGAGAGTTTATATTAAATATATTTTTGCAGATATAGTAAATAGAAAATAATTCAAAATTAAGTTATGTAAATATCAGAATTTACATTAGACATGCATAAGGCACTGACACTTCAGACTTTAAATCAGAGTTCTGAGGTCAGAAAATATAACAAGTTGGTAGAAAAATTATTCGTATGTAGCAATGTTGTTACTAATTATCAAATTACTTCATACAGATAATCTTACAATTAACTCAAATTACTTCATGGAAAAAAATTAGTTCCTTTTTATCTTTTGAGATGAAGTCTTGCTTTGTCTCCCAGGCTGGAGTGCAGTGGCACAATCTCAGCTCACTGCAACGTCTACCTCCTGGGTTCAAGTGATTTTCCTGCCTCAGTTAAGTAGCTGGGATTACAGGCACATACCACTATGTCAGGCTATGTTTTATATTTTTAGTAGAAGTGGGGTTTGGACATGTTGGCCAGGCTGGTCTCAAACTTGAGACCTCAGGTCTTCCACCCAGCTCAACCTTCCAAAGTACAGGGATTACAGGTGTTAGCCACTGTGCTCAGTCCATCATGTTTCTTTATTACTATTGTGTTTGTACATGAAAGCATGTGACCAATTGTTGCTGTATCAAGACAGAAGAGATACTTTTTAGTAGGTGAACTTCTATGACCTCTTACGAAAGAGTAAGGACATTAAAATGTAACACACATGATGAAAATCTAAAAAGGTTCTTTGTGGTTAACTTACAATAGTGAGTGATGCCTGAGGTAGGTGTCCAGAGTAATATTCTTCTGCATTATATTGAGAGACAAATATTGTTAGTTTTAGTTAAATTGTCTTTGCCCGGTGGCCCAGACCCATAATCCCAGCACTTTGGGAGACCAAGACTTGTGGATCACAAGGTCAGGAGTTTGAGACCAGCCTGGCCAATGTGGTAAAACCCAATCTCTACTAAAAATACAAAAATGAGCTGTGCTTGGTGGTGCACACCTGTAGTTCATTCAGCTACTCGGGAGACTGAGGCAGAAGAACCACTTCAAGGAGGCGAAGCTTACCAATGAGCTGAGATTGTGCAACTGCACTCCAGCCTAGGTGATACAGTGAGACGCTGTCTCAAAAATAAATAAAATAAAATTAGCATATTATTTTACCGATTTTACTTTTATGAAACTAAATGCAGTACATGCTAAAAATTTTAGATTAGGTGTGAATTTCTTAATTCAACGTTTTTCACATTTTAAATATTGCACATTCAATTACATCTTATTCATTTACTTTAACCTAGTCCTCCTGACTCAAGGGTATAGGTAAAAGATAAAAGAATACACGATTTGGTTAAATCATGGACTAAGGTCTCTAGTAATCTTTTTTGCCACTGGCTTAAAATTGCAATAAGTTAATCAATATTGTTCCAGTAGGTAAAGTTTTTTTTCCTGCATTTAACTTTTGTTAATTTTTGTGGGCACATATTTATGTTACATATATGTACATATGTTATAAATATTCTGACAGGCATACAGTATTTAATAATCACATTAGGTTGGCTGAGGGATCCATCACCTCTAAAATTTATCTTTTGTATTACAAACAATTCTACAGTTATAGTAATTTTACGATGTAAAAGTAAAATTGACTACAGGGTCAGTTTTGTAATAATAAAAATTGTATACAGTTATAAATAAAATTTACACATATCTGAGTCCTGGATAAATACTTTTAAAAATTTCTTAGTCTTCTTTTCATATGTGGCCTGTATGCTTTCAAACACCTAAAGATTGTTAGTTTTAATTTACCTAGAGTTAAATATACACATCTGTTAGTCTAAATATAAACTTTAGGTGGAAGAAAATAAGTGTGTTTGAGTATGAGTTTGTAACTCTTTTCAGAATAAACGATCAATATTGGAAAAAAGTCATTTTGATAAGATGTATAATTTTCTTTGTGTCTTCATTTTCTTTTCTTTGAGACAGAGTAAATATTGCACCTGTTATGTTATTGACTCCTATGTGAGCAGATATTAGGCAAGAGAAGAGAATCACAGCATCCTAGTTATGAGCACAGATATATGTCCCAAAGCCCCAAGCAGGAGGTGCCAAGGCAGGAGGTGTACCACGACCTAGGTGCTGGGTTCCACCCAGCTTGGGAAGGCGCCTGCAGGGCTGGCATCTGCCCCTGCCAGGCGGGGGTCTCCGGAAGTGCGGGCTGTGGAGATGGAGGTGGCACGGCTTGGGGTTCGCCGGACACCCCAGCCACGTGGAGCCCCTGGCCCCAGCCCAACCAGGGACCCTGGGGGGCCCTGTGTGGCACCAGCATACCTTGCCCCTGTGGCTAGGCTCCAGCAGGCCCAAGCTGTCCCATGGAGAACGTCCCCGGCAGGCCGGCGTGTGACCGGTCCCGCTCCTCCTGGCATCTGCTCGGGTGGGGAGGCCCCCGAGGGCTCTGAGGGTGGGGGAGAGCCACTTCTGAAAGAGCCAGGGCGGCGAACCCGAAAGCCCCGAGTGCCGGGCAGGTTGCGAGATTCCTTCTGCCTGTGGGGCCTGTCCGTGCAAAAGCAGGGGCACGGCCCCTGCTGCCTGGCTCACGACGGGCCCCTGTGGGAGGGCCCCAGGCGCGCAGGGCACTTGGGGTGCGGGAAGCGCCGTCCGCCACGCCCCGGCGTGGGTGGAGGCGACCCAGGAGGGAGGAGAGGAGCCGCACCCGCCAGGGGCCCTGTTGCACAGGCCGCCTGCGGCCGCGGGTCCCCTGCCAGCCCGGCCTGGATGCCTGGCCCTTCGATTCTGAAACCAAATCTGAATCCTGGACTCCGGGAGGCCCGTCTCTCTGGCCAGTTCCTCCCTGGCGGCGAAGTCCGGAAAGCGCTCTCGCTCGAAGGCCCGGAGGAGCACGGCGGTCTGGGACTGGGTCACGGCCGTCCGCTTTCGCCGGCCTTCTGGCGGGCCGCGTGGCCCAGGCCAGGGCCTGGATTCCCGCCGGTGCTGCCTCAGCCGGCGCGATCTCTCGTTCTGAAACCAAATCTGGACCCTGGGCTCTGGAACGCCGATGGCCTGGGCCAGCTGTTCTCTGGTGGCCATGCCCGGGTACGGGTTCCGCTCAAAGGACGCTCGCAGGGCGTCCCTCTGGCTCGGAGTCCAAACGAGCCTCTTTCGCCTTCCTCGCCCTCGGGCCTCCGCCGGGAGAGGGCTGCCGGGAGCTGTGGGGAGAGCCATCGCGGGGAGACCGGGCCCGAGTGTCACAGACAGACACAGGCACACAGAGGCCGGGCGGCTCCCGCGCGCCTCAGCCAACCTCTGCTGTGCACCGCGCCGCAGGCAGGTCAAGCCAGGAGTCCGGCCCCGCCAGCCAGGGGCCGCTTTTATAGAGACCTAGCGGCCCCACCCCTTCCTGAATATGCATGAGCTCCGGGGACCCAGGGTGGGGTAGCCCGCCCTCTCAAGCCGGAAACCACAGGGACACCAGGGCCCTGAGGGGTGGTCGGGGGTGGGGCCTGAGCGGCGGGGGGAGGGGGAGGGACAAGCAGGGCTTCAGGGGCTGGACCTCTGGGGTTCTCCAGGAATTCTACGGAAACTGGAAGCCTCTCTCCGGGCTCGAACACGTCACCAGGGAGGGTGGCGTGCAGAAGCGAACCCCCGTGACAGGCCTGAGTTTTCCAGTCCCCCTCTCCGTCAAGGCGTCCATGTCTATGGGTGTCGCCGTTGCCGCGACACTCTCACACACGCAGCTGCGTGGATCCGGTTCGTGTTCCTGTAGAAAACGAGAGCGAAGGCACGGAGAAAGAAAACATCCCGGGCAGAGACGGCCTGACGAGGGATTCCTGTTTCCTGCCACACGGGGAGTCTTGGCAACCTGGATAGAAAGGGCAGCGACACGCTGCTGCTTTTCCACGGATCCCTGGGAGTTTCTGTTTCCCCGCCGAGCTCGGGGAAGAAAACAGTGAACGTCATCAGGTCACCACGACTTAGGAAGCCACAGAGACCTGAGCGACAGGCACCCTTACGAAGGTCAAATAGAAAAATTACAAAAAATTAGCTGGGCGTGGTGGCAGACGCCTGTAATCCCAGCTACTTGGGAGGCTGGGGCAGGAGAATTACTCGAACCCGAGGGGTGGAGGTTGCAGTGAGCCGAGATCCGGCCATTGAACTCCAGCCTGGGCGAGAGGGCGAGACTCTGTCTCAGAAAACAACAACCCAGAGGCATTCCAACATATAAAACCCAAGTCAAAAGGTCGCATCCTGCGTTTGCCTTATGAGTCATCCTCTTGGCACTCTGCCACGCGTACTTTCCTTCCTTCTGTTCCGCTTCCATAGTTTGTTCATACACGTTTACTGCTGCTCGGAAACTCTCCTGCTTTATGGCCCTCAGTGGAGTCCTTTCTTCTGAGGAGGTAAGAATGGCGGTTTCTGTAGACTCACACCCCTAGGAATTCATTTCCCGTAACAGGCAACAGGTAGTAGAAATGAGGAACATCACCTAGGTGCTGGTCCAGAAATACGTCACCGTACCGTATCAGGGGAAAGCCCAAAAAAAAGAGTCATCACCTCGGAGAAGTGCTTAGAAATATATCCCAATACCTCCTGTGGGTAGGACAAAGTGAGAAGAGAAGAGTGAAATACCCTAGAGGCTGTGCTCAGCTGTATGTCCCAATCAGCCCAGTGGGAAAGGCCAAGGCGAAATAGGAGAGACACATCGTGTAGGTGCTGAGCCAGGTGATATGTTACAGTCTCCTCGGTGGACACTTCCCAGGAAGAAGAGGAGACACACGCCATCTAGCAGAAGAGACCAAAAGTATGTAATGATGATACCTGTGGGCGAGAATCCAGACAAGAGAACCACATCACCTGTGGGCCCGGCCCAGTGACAAGTCACTCTTTCTTTTGTAAGCGTAGCCCAGTCAGGCAAGCAGAGTTACCTCAACTAGGGTCCAGAGACAAGCCACATCCTCTCCTGTGGGCAAAGAGCAGGGGTAACAACACAATCATTTTGAATAGTTGAGTCCCCAGAGATAACGTCGCAATGGTCTCTGTGGGCAGGGTTCATGCAGGATACTCACAGCACATTCCCTGTGAACTCAACAGTATGTCACAATGCTTTCTGAGAAGAGGGTTATGACAAAAAAGGAATGTAACTGGATGCCGGGCCCAGCAATAAGTTATTGACTCCTATGTGAGCAGATATTAGGCAAGAGAAGGGAATCACAGCATCCCAGTTATGAGTATAGACATATGACCCAAAGCCCCAAGCAGGAGGTGCCAAGGCAGGACGACAGTGTCACACGACCTAGGTGCTGGGTCCCATCCTACCCCCCACCCTCCGTCCCTCCCTCACTCCCTTCCCACTCCCTGTCTCCCTTGCATCCTTTTCTCCCTTCACACGTCCCTCCCTCTCCGCCTGGGATCCTCTCCCCATCTCTACCCGCCTTCCCTCCCGCCTGGGGAAAGCAGCCCTTCCGTTTGCCCGCGGGATAGGGCGGTTGTGTGGGCAGTGGTCTCGAATCTATATTGAGCTGCCAGGCGCTACTCGGTGATGGCGGGGAAGCTGGCGGGGCACCGGTGTGCGAGTGATCGGTGGGCGAAGAGGAGAGGCAGAACAGGGGTGCAGCGGAATGGAGAGCGGGCCTGCCTGGGGACCCGGCCTGGTGTTTCTGGAACAAAACGCCCCCTCTTCTCACCCTCCTGAAGCCTGCGGGGTGGCGTGGGGGCAGGGCTGCGAGGAGGGATGACAGCTCTGCCGGCGCTGGTCCCCCAAAGCGCCGCGGGCTGTCTGCAGACCCACACACGCGCACGAGACCGCCCAGGTCTCGGGCCCTGGGCGGGTTCTGGGGTTCCCAAGATGCTGGGGAAAGAATGACAGCACAGCCCTGCCCTGTGTGCAGTCTCTCACCAGACCGACCTGGAACCAAGGGATCCCAGACAGGTCAGCGGGAGGGCAAGACACGCCGCCGGAACCTCAAATTCATGCACACGCGCGCGCGCACACACACACACACACGCCCGCGCACACACACACACACATACACACACACAGGCGATCAGAGGCTGAAGTCAGAAATCACGCTTCAATCGGCCTGAGGGTGACCCCTGTGGGGATGAGACTGCCTCGCGCTCTGTTGCAGGGCACGACGTGGGGATATGCCGTCTGTGAACCCCGTGGGCGAAACGAGGACTGGCACGCATCGCATTGAACTCCCGAAATGTTTTGGGACTGTGGGGGTCCCTCAGTTGGTCCTGGAGGCAGAAGACCGCTCAAATCTCTGCCTATGTTCCTCTGTCCCGTGGTCCCTTTCTTTATTCTTCTGTTCCACCCTGTTCCCCTCTTGCCCTTTCTTCCTCAGTCCCTCCAAACCTCCGTTTCTTTTTTTCTCTCTCGCTTTCTCTCTTTCTCCTGTTCACCCTCCCTTAGCTCCCTGCTCCCTCCCTGTGTCTCCCTCCCTCTCCCTCGGTCCCTGCCTCCCTCCCTTCCTCCCTCTCTCCCTTCCGTCCTTTCCTCCCTTCACTCGTCCCTCCCTCTCGCTCTGGGGTCCTCTCCCCACCTCTACCCGCCTTCCTTCCCGCCTGGAGAAACCAGCCCTTCAGTTTGCCTGCGGGGTAGAGGGGTTGAGCGGGGCGGAATGGTCTCGGGTCCGCACTGAGCTACCAGGCGCTGCTCCGTGACCTGGGGGAGGCTGGCGGGTTACCGGTGTGCCAGTGATCGGTGGGCGGAGCAGAGGCAGAAAAGGCGTATCGCGGATTGGAGAGAGGGCACACCTGCGGACCCGGTCCGGTGTTTCCCGGGCAAAGCGCCCCCTCTGCCAACCCTCCTGAAGTACGCGGGGTGGCGTGGGGGCAGAGCTGCGAGGAGGGATGAAAGCTCTGCCTGCGCTGATGTCCCGAAGCGCCGAGGGCTGCCTGCAGACCCGCGCACGCACACTAGACGGCCCAGCTCCCGGGACCAGGGCGGGCTCTGGAATTTCCAAGATGCTCGGAAAAGAAGGACGGCACAGCCGGGCCCAGTGTGTAGTCTCTAACAGGACAGACGAACCTAGCACTCAGGGATCCCAGACAGGTCAGCGGCAGGGCCTGACACCAAGACGGGGCTCGCTGGAAGCAGAGCCAGAGGGTCACCTCACCGCAGGAGAGAGGCCACCGCCCTGCCCCGAACCCTCCCCAGCCCGCCCCGCCTTTTAAAGCTCCTCCAGCAAAGCCCGGTATTCTTCTTCGCGGAGGGGTGGCTCCAGGAAAGCGAGCTCTTCCACCTCCTTCAGCTCCCCCACTGGCTCAGTCTCTCTGAAAGGTCTTCAGCAGCGCGAGCGGTGAGCCGGGGATCGCGTCGCAGTGAAGGCCACCGTGTCCTGGGGAACCGTCTGAGCAACTTGAGAAAGCAGGGGCCCACTGCGGAAGTGCCTCACCGTTGGGCGACTGCTTCCCCCTCACGGCGATCGTCGCCACGGTCCCGCGATTTCCGGAGTGCGGCTTGGCGGAACAAGGCGGAGAAAACGTCCAGCGGAGCTTCAGGGATGCCCAGGGCGATGGATCCCCAAGGATCCCCTAGATACTTCAGGCCCGCCCAGACGGTGTTAGGGTGCGTCCCCTTGCAAGCTGCCCCTACTGGGATTTGCAGGTAAGGTCAGCCTGTGTGCTGCGGAACTGCTCTATCCCCGAGGGGCTTCCCGGAAAAGAGCAGAACCCCACAGCCTCAGGAGCTGCCTGCGACTGTTGGATTTCTCACCGTGGCTTAGTCTGTGTGTGTGTGTGTGTGTGTGTGTGTGTGTGTGTTTGCGCCCGCGTGTGTGCGTGTGCGCTCGGGTGCGTGTGTGTGCCTGTGTGTCTGCGTGCGTGTGTGTCTGTTTGTATGTCTCCGTGTGTTCACCTGTGTGTGCGTGTGCTAGCGCTGTATGCTTGACCAGTGGTGTGGCCAGTGCACCCCAGCGCGGTTTCTCTGTAGTCTGCCTTGGTTCTGGTGCGCCTCTGACCTTGGCCCAGCTTATGGGCATTGGGGCCCCGTGTTCTTTATGTTGCTCCTGGTTTCTAAAGCCTCAGTGTCGTTGGGGTCTGGCTCCCACCCGGAGGTCTCCTCATCACCTGCCCATCTCGACGGGTCAATCCTCCAGAAGGAAGATGAGCACAGCACACCAAAACCCCAACTCTTCCAAGGGCCCTTGGTCCTGCAGCACATCTGTGATTTCCGGGTAACATGTGCAAAACCATAGGACTCACTGTGCATGTGTAGTTCAGGATACAGGGACATGTTTGGGAGTGTGGGTCAGTCCCACTGAGTGGGGCCTGTACCCCGCAAGTGAGGTCCATATACCCCAAATGGTGTCTGTTGCTCAGAGATGGGGCTGGG